CCCCCCCCCCCCCGACTCCCCCCTCCTCTCAGGCAGTTGTAGGGAGTGATAAGGGCTCCAGACCCCTCCCCAATTCGCATTACCCTTCTCTGGACACACTCCAGCCCCCCCAGGTCCTTCGGGGAGGGAGGGGCCCAACCCTGACCCCAGCATTCGAGGGGCAGCCCCCCCAGTGCCCAGCACAGGGGCACGGTCCCTGCCCTGCTCCTGCTGGCCACACCACTCTCAGTTATCAGGTTTTCCAACCCTGTATTTCAGAGAGCAGATTCAGCTCAGCATCCTACCTCTCCTCAATCACCTTCACAAAGCCCATGGGCAGCGAAAGCTTTATGAAGAGGAGCACCAGGCAAAGCTGACCCCTATTCACAGTCCCTTGTGCCCAGCAGTGGGACCCAAACGTCAAATTGGCATTTAAAGAGCAATATGCTTCCCAGTAAAACTGTCCTGGAGTTGGATTCAAGAGTCATTAAAGCACGTTACAGCAAAGCCACAGCGAAACACAAGATAGTCTCAGTCAACTACCCTCTCTGGCCAGAAATGCAGAAGGACACCCAGGCCCCATCACACCAGGACAGAGACAGCCAAATCCCAGAAAACTTCTTGCAACTTCTGAGAGTTCAAGCCTGACTCAGATTAAAACTTTTTCCAGTGGATTTTTAGCAAAAGTCTCAGTAGGTTGGACTTGGATTGGGGTTAACTTTATCTCCATACAAATCCTCTGGTACTGCAAGGACAAGATGGTTCTGGGCTGGATCACGCAGCAGGACACACACCCAGCAAAAACACAAGCCCTGGAGCAGCACCTGGCTGCTGTGATCTCCTGGGTACCTCTGAACACAAGGACTGCATGAAGCCCATCCTGACCTCCCAATCTCAGTACTGAGTTCTGCTGAAGAGGAGAAACCAGATTCAGCAACCTGAGCAGAGACTCCAGAAGGCTGAGTTGAGACAGACCTCACTGTATTAAAGCATCCCATAACACAGTAGAGATTGGGCTGACAACGTCTGACAACATGGGGCCCAGATCAAGTGGTCCCACTGGCCTTCCTCAGCCCTACCCATCAGCTCATTCAATAAACTGACCAAAGCCAGGACCCAGGGGTTTTCTTTGCTTTTTTTGATTACAACAGACACAAATGCCACATGCAAGCAGGTCAAAGACTCAACCTCCTCCCCACCGCTCAAATCCAGCATCATTCATCAGCCAGACTCTGGCCTGACAACTGCCCCATCCATTCTCTCCAGGAGTACAGCTCCCCTGTAGTATCTGAAGAGCAAGTCCTTGGGCTCAACAAACATGATCCATGGCCAGGTTGTGCTCAGGGATTCAAAGAGCCATAACAAAAGGGATATGGAGGGAGTCAGACATGCTGTTAGTAAAAAAAGAGGGAAGAAAGAAAACAGGGCTCCTCTGAAGTCTTTGTTCATGCCACCACCAAGGGCTTCCTTAGCTCAGCTTCGGTACAGTTAAGTTTTTGCTCTGATATCCCCTCAAGTGTCCCTCTGAAGATGTCAAGTCTTCACTCAATGTGCAAATGACTGTTTTTAAATGCTGTTTCCATGGTAGTTATGAACCAGATGAGTCTTCTCCAGAACTAAGGAAGAAAAAAATTTGCTACACAGACTTGCATTTATAGTCCTGCTCCAGAGGGAGCACGGCCAGGTTCACAAATTACAGCATCTCCCACATCCTTCATTAGCCAACTCTGAGCTTTCTGTTGCAGTATATAGCTCACACACTGGAGATCTGAGTATAATGCAATTAAGCATAGACAGCAAAGAGGGAAATGCCCAAAGCAATGAATTCAAAAAAATATTTACTTAAATTTAAGAGGCACAAAGCCCTTTCGCTGACAAGGACCTCACTGCATATTCAACCTCACAGGAAGCAGTTAAAAGCCTGCAAGCAATAGATGCTGGGCTATAATTTTGCCTTGTCTTTCTAAAGCCCATTTCAAGCCCAGAATAGTCCCTTAAGTCTTTACAAGTTTAAAGGCCAAATACCCACATTTATGTAGGTAAGCCCTCTCACTGCCACAATTTAATTAGGTCAGTTTGGTTTTACACAGGTAGGTGCGTCCACTGCTGGAACCCAATTAGTCTGTCTGAACTGCAAGCAAGTTTTGCTAAGCTCATCTGGAGGTTTCTGTAACCTCTTAAGTCACCTCTGGCAGCTGCTCAGCAGCATTTAGCAATGCTCTGCACATCTGGGTTAAGAAACGAAGAACATCCTAAGGAATTCAAGTTTCAAGTATCATTTTAACCAAAAGAACACAAAAAATAGGTATTGCAGTGCACTGTAGTTTCAACCAGAATAATTAGGCTTTACATTAGCATGCTAACAGCCCTGCCAAGAAGGACCTGGATTTATGGAGGATGTGAGTTTGAATGAGCCAACAGAGTACCCCCACTGTGAATAAGTCAAACCACACACTGAGTGGCCTCAAGAGAAGTGTTGCCAGCAGACCAAGGGAAGTTGCTCTCCCTTCTGCTCAACACTGGTGAGGTGGCACCAGCACCACCGTGCCCTGATTTGGGCCTCCCAGTTCAAGGAGGATGTGCAGAGGGTCCAATGTAGAACTCCCAAACCGAGATGGTGAGGCACCCGGGGAACACAGCTTACTAGGAAAGCTTGAGGAAGTTACAGAATCATAGAATCTTTTAGGTTGGAAAAGACCTTCAAGATCACCAAGCCCAACCGTTCCCCTAACCCTGCCATCCCACCCCTAAACCCTGGCCCTAAGCGCCTCGTCTGCCCGGCTGTTAAATCCCCCCAGGGCTGGGGACTCGACCCCTTCCCTGGGCAGCCCCTTCCAGTGCCTGACAGCCCCAAGGGGAAGGAATTGTTCCCCATGGCCAACCTCACCCTGCCCTGGCACAACTTGACGCCGTTGCCCCTCATCCTGTTGCCCGTTCCCTGGGAGCAGAGACCAACACCCACCATGCTACAACCTCCTGTCAGGTAGCTGTAGAGAGAAGTTGGGCTTGTTTAGTCTCACAGAGAAGAGGCTATGAGATGATCTAGCTGTAGCCTATGCTATCTGACAGACAGTTATGAAGATGATGATACCAAACTTTTTAAGACTGACAGACACTGTCACAAGGGGAAATGGCCCTTAGAGGTTTGGGTTGGAAAAATCTCCTCGCAGAGGGTGGTGCAGTGCTGTAACAAGTCCCAAGGAGGGGGCAAGTCTTCAGTCCTGAGATTTCAAGACCTGGTCTGCTGCTAGTGATAGTCCTCCTTTGAGGGACTGTTTGGACAGATGTCTCCAGTCTTTCTTCACCTGCTGGGGTGGGACAGGTTGAAGAAGTTCAGTGTAGCTGCCTGCACATGATGTGAGGAAGGAGAGCTCACAAGGATGAGCTTTGGAGGGCAGGAGCAAGCTCAGCAGCTCATCACACCAATGCAACCACAATTCTTTATCCCAGTGCCTACAGGGAGCCCCTGCCAGTAGCTTGGTGTGCTAGGTCCTCTACAGAGATGGCGTTTACCCCAAGGAGACCTTCCTGAGAGAGGCTGAGAGAGGTCATGGCTTGCGAATAAATCCATGGGGCAGAGAGAAAGGCAACAGGAACAAGTATCAATGAAACACTGTCCACAAATACAGCCCAGAAGTGACAGCCACTGAGGAACAGCAAAGATGGGGTTTCCAAGAGCCAGGACCCCACTGTATCTCATCAGCAACACACTCGCAGCTCTGTCAGGTCCAAAACAATGTTTCCATCTCCTTTACACTCCATCTGGCTGAAAACTGTTCTGTTTTAGTGGAGCCCACACATCTGCACTGGGAGGAAAGAGGAGGGCCAGGCTCAGCCTGAACGGACCCAGTGGAAATTGTTTCCTCTCTGCCTGTAATTAAAACCTCGCCCCGTGTTATCATGCTCCCTCCCAGCCTTTCCACAGCATTTCAGGCTGCTTTTCAGAAACCCTGCTGTTCTCAACCTCTGGTGCCTGTGCGCGGAGCAGGGATCTAATTGGGGTTACAGCACATCCCAAGCACTGACCCATTTTCAGCGCTGAATGGCAACGCTTGAACAGATGTAGCCCTGCTATTTTGCATCCAGAAAGCCTCTGCCATGACTACTGTGCACAAGAGGGCTTGCTTTTCCAGTGCTGTCAATCCAGAAGTGCCTCTAGCACCCTGTACGCACTGGGTTGCATTGGCAGGGGAAGGGGCTTTGGTCTGCAGGTGATACCTGTGGGCATTTTAAAGGCCAAATACCCCGTGCAACCAGAGCAAACCTGCACATCTCCTCCCATTCCTGCATGAATATTTGGGAACCCAAAAAACTGTGCAGTGCTGTGGCTGCACTGCCCATTCACAGCATTCCCAGGGCTTTGCTTCATCTCCACATGATTTTTTTTTTTTAGCTCTTTCTCAACTTTGAGCTAAGACAGTTTTGGCTTCGCACTGGAGCAGAGTAGGAGCATTCACATCCCTTATTGAAGGTATAAACTGAAAGAAAGAGGAGTTCCAACTCCATTCCTTAAAAAAAAGGCTTTTTTTTCCATGCTATTATTATAAGTAATCAAGAGCAATGGTGATGGTTTCAGTTCTCAGAGTGCAGGTCTGAGCAAAGAGAAAAACCACACGCCTGGAAGGAGACAGGTCTCATCATTAAGTTAGTAAACACCCTCCCTCACACAACCTCAGCATCTGAAGCAAGTGATTTATTTAAGGGATCAACTACCCACTGTGTTTTAAAATAGAGTTTACATATTATCTTTGACAAGAAGATGATGTCAAAGTAGTTTGGTTAGAAGAAAGCCCAAGGTACTGTCAAAATGTTTTAAGATGCTGCTGAGATATTAAAAGGAAGAATAATTTCCAGCACTGGGGGGAGCTGACAATACCCTAAACTCCGCAGAACATCCCACTGGGAAAGCTTGTTTTCAGCTCCTTCCAACTTTGCAAAATTTTCCACACCCATGTCTGCTCCAGGCTGAATTTTTGTCATTTACATTGTGTGGAAAGTTGCAGCCAAATTGCTCTGCCGCTTCCAAAACCAGCCAACCATAGAAACAAACAAACACCAACCAACCAAAAAGCTTCTACGTGATTTCAGCACCATCTTTGCTTTCACATGCTGTTCACTGGGGAGCACACCTACCCCAAGCTCCGTTACACCCACACAACGGAGACCTGAGGACACATTACATCTATCAGTGAAAACAGGCAGAAGCAGCTCTTCTTCAGCCTCATCTCCAGCCTCACTTTCCCTTTATCATCATTAATATGTCCATCTGAAGGACCCAAATGCATCCAAGCCAGTGTCAAACAGCTCTTAAGAGGTGTATGATGACAGCCAAGTTGGTTAAGGGTTTGTCCTTCCGCAATGGGGAAACTCTACTCACCAGTTGATTTCATTGTAGTCATTGTGAACTTCCCACCAGAAGTAAAACCAGACCAGGGTCAGGAAGAAGGACGAGGTGAGGATGAGGAACCAGAGGCGCTCCCACTGTGGATGGAAAGAGAAGTCAATGTTAATACTGTCCCGTTTCAAGGCCAGTGCCCCATCCTCTTCCACATCTCACCTAGAAACAGTTGAGACTGGATGCAGTAACTAGACCTTCCCAAAGGCAGATTTCAGACCCTTCTTCCCTGGGGGAGGTGGGAGATGCAACCCTGGTCCCCAGCTCTGGGCAGAGGGGTCACTTATGTAGGTCCATCTTATGTAGGGCTGGAGCAGCATTTCTACAGCTCTCAGGGCATGTGGAACAAGGGAGTATTTCATAGAATAGAACAGAATAGAATTGTTTAGGTTGGAAAAGCCCAACCATTGACCTAACCCTGCCATCCCACCATTAAACCATGTCCCTAAGCACCTCGTCTGCCCATCTTTTGAATACCTCCAGGGATGCAGAGCTGGGGTTTTTTGGTTGGTTGAGGTTTTGGAGGGGTTGTTGATTTGTTTGCATTTTTTGAGGCAATTGTTTATCTAACTTTTCCATTCACACGTGAGAGCTGCAACTTGGCATCTTACCCCGCCGTGGGTTCAGCCTAAATGACTGAGTAGTTATCACATGGCAAAGACTACGCAGCAGGTTAGGGTTGCTACTACTACACAGACTTACGAACCCTTACTCCTTCCCCAAGGGCACTCAGATCCTGCAGAGCCAAACCACCCATCCACAACATTTATTCCCACCACCACCACATATGTAAGTGTTTTGCAAATAACACACAGCAGGAGGAGAGACCACACCAGCATCAGATGAAAGATATTTGCATCAACACTCAGTTTTGGTGAATGTTTCAATTAATACTCAACTCCCCACCCTCCTCCTGCCCTCTGCGCTGCGCCCCCCCCCCAAATCCCTAAAACATCTGCTCAGTGCCCCGCTCCAATAGCGTCAGTAAAATCCAAAACCACAAGGACATCCATGAAGAGAACAGTGTTGCAAGAAAACCATCCCTAACCAGCACCATTTCCACGTGCTCTGTGTTGGTTTGACTCTGCAGGCATTAAATAGTCCCCATATGTCTCCGTTTCAACTAGCATCCAGTCTGTTTGGAACAAAACACTGAAATAAAGTTCTTATGGAAAATATTCAAACGAATCCTTGCTTCCCAGAACAAGCTGGGATGAAAAACTGAGAAAGTGTATGAGCAACTCCGCTACTATAATTTCCTCCTAGACCTTGAGCACACCGTTCATCTCTCCCAAAAATGCCCTTTTCTCCAGTGAACGGTCTCATGGCTTTTCAATTATGCAAAACAACGTAACCAATATAAACACTGTTTTTGTGATATAAACCCACTACTATTCTTCGCCTTCCCTTTCCATCTTAAGGACCAAAGCTATTTACTTGTGTATTGACTATGTTTCATCATGCATCACCCTGGATACCAGTCTTGTGATACAGCTCTTCCTTGTATGCTCCATCTCATAAAAAGTGCCAAAAAAAAAAAAAAGCAAGCAATAAAAAGGGCTGGAATTATTCAATTTTGCTGTGCCAAAAATGATGTTTGCTGCTAGAAATTCCCAATTCTCGGCCAGGCGTTATGGTTAAAAACCTTTCTTCAACTCGGCTCAAGTTTGTTATCCAACCTCGACCAAACCTCTGTAGCACCAGGTGCCTTATTCCCATGTGGGGCTTTGTGTTCTGGATAAATGGGGCAAAGAGAACCAGAAAGTGGTACAAAGGGACTCCTACAGCGCACCTACTGAGTCCATTCAAACGCACATGGCCAAACTCCTCTGCTTAAAAACTATCATTGACCCACCTCACACACAGGTCTGCACCTACATGGACAGGTGAGCTCCTGCAGGGAAAGCACAGAGGCTCGAATGGGGGTTTTCCCCCCCCACAAAGCACCCCACCTTTGGTAGCAGGATGCCACCCACAGCATCTCCGTCAGCTCCATAGCCAACACCAGCCTTCCCAGTCCCAAAAGCAGCAGCAAGGCTGCAATGTCTCCCTGTGATGAACCTCCTCCACACCAATCACCACTGCACAGCCAAGCCAACCCTTTCCAACCAAGAAGTTTCAGATTAAAATCCACCCATGGAACATCTGGATTATATAAACACCCAAACCAAAATCCAACTCACACCTTCCCTCCATCCCACCAAAATTCCCCAGGAGGAAGCGATTTCTAACCCTTTCAGCAAGCTGACTATTTTCTCCTGGACGCTTTCAGGTCTGCAGATCTCCAAGCTTTCAAACCTCACTTTCCCTATTGTTTTATGGTTTTTTTCCTCTCCATTTGCTTTTAACACCTCTTTGTACCTATCAGCAACACTGCTGAATCGATTAACTGGACGGGTTTTTGCAAGGCAAGTAAGGTTTAAAGTATTCTCAAGTGCTGAGAACCAACATTGCTGCAAAAAAAAAAATAAATATATCCTCCAGCTCTTTAAAGGTCATTATGGGATAAGCTTGGCCAGTATTCATGCACTGGATGACACTGATTTGACAAACAAGCAAGGAAAACATTTCATAGCATGTTTGGGTATTTATATATATATACACATACATTTAAAATATAATATATATGAGGGTTTTTTTCCCCCTCATTTACATGCAACTAGCATAGCCTGTGTCAAGCTCTCCAAAAGCTATTTTTGGTCTGTCCCTGACTGTGCACTTGCCAGATATACTTGCCTGACTGATTTTGTGAAAACCCAGTCAAATTCTTCAAGGGTTGACATATTTCAGTGCATTCAAGCACAGCTCTGGGTGGGCTTTCAGAAGAACAGGGCACATCATCTTCTCCGCACCACCGATACTATTCAGCACGAACTGAACATGAATCTGAACCTACACGAATCTGACCGACATGCACAATATATTGGATTTAGCCTGGGTCCTGTACAACCTCCGTCCAACAGCCCCTCATCAGAAGAGCTTTAGAGGCCCCTACTTTGCAAGCTCCTGCACGCTTTAAAGCAAGGTGAAATCTGCAATGTGCAACAGCTTCAAGCCTCTACTGCCAAAAATAAAGACTGAAAATCATGTCATCCCAATCACTCAATCCTGACCACAAGTAGGTGGAAGAAACAGTGCCAGTTCACCTACAGAAACTCAGGCAGAACCACCAGAAAGTCTGAAGGTGCTTGAAAAAAAGGTCCATGTTTTCAGCTCCATGAGATTTTATAAGAATGTCAGCAGTAACATTTTTGGAAGTTGTTCTAGAAAACCTTCCCTTCACCACCCTTCGCTTTCCGTTTCTCCCTCTTCCCACAGGAATAAGATGGACGTGCTCACTAGTTACCAATTACTCGCACTGAGCTTAAACACGGGCAGCTCACACAGCACTTAGTAGTGTCCTGCAAATGAACTCAACCAAGCACATCTGTATTAGCACCTTCATTCCTATCAGGATGCATTTTGGAAGTAGCTCCCCCTTTTGTCCTGCTTTTCTGTGTTCTGGTTCAAAGCACTAAAGGGCTTTGGGTGAAGCTAAACCAGAAGATGTGCTCTAGGAGTGAACCCAACACACCTGAGCCACCAATGGGTACTCGGTCCATAGGACCAGATTAGAGGTAGTCTTAAGTGACCACACCACCACCTCCAAAATGGTTGGACTGTAACATCAGGGTCTCAGCACTATCTCTTTCCACAAACCTCTTCTCTTGGGCCACACTGCTTGCTAATGCAGATGTGGCCATGGTGTCTTGCAGAACAGCACAAGCCAGTGTTAACTTCATTATACAGACATGTCATTTTAAAGGAAAGCAATAAATGAGGAGTCTCCTTTTTCCTCCAGCACATGCACCACGTGCTTGATTAAGCTCAAAAAAAGCCAGCTGGTAAACGGACTGTCTTTGCAGAGCACACCCACTGAGATGGCCACAGCCCAAAGAAGGGTGGAGAGTCTCTCACCGAAAGTAGGAGAGGTGACTTAGAAGTGAGAATCTTTAAAGGGATCAGGCACAGGTTGAAGATTTGACACCACAGAAGCATTTTCAAAACCAGGCATCTTAAACATACCTCTGTGCTTGTGATCTCAGGTCTACTGTGGGTCTGCTTCTAGCAATAGGAATTTTTTACTCCAAGAGAATCATTGAATCATGTAGGTTGGAAGAGACCTTTAAGTTCATCAAGCCCAACCCTTCCCCTACCCCTGCCATCCCACCCCCAAACCCTGGCCCTCAGCACCGCCTCTGCGACAGCCCCAAGGGGAAGGAATTGTTCCCCATGCCCAACCTCACCCTGCCCTGGCACAACTTGAGGCCCTTTCCCCTCATCCTATCACCCGTTACTTGGGAGCAGAGCCCGACCCCCACCTCACTACACCCTCCTTTCAGGTAGCTGTAGAGAGCTATGTGCCTACAGTATCTAGAGACATAATCAGAAGAGCCCCAAAAGGAAACCAATTAAGACCCAAACATGTTACCAAGCTGCAGTTTGTCAATGATCTTTCAATGTCTTTAAAATCACAGAATCCTTAAAACAAAAAAACCAAAAATAAATCTGTGCTTCATCCCCATTCTCCACCACTTTTGTGCATCCGGTCTCCACCCTGGGTCAGGTGGGAGCATAACCAACTCCAAAATAAGGGGTGATGGAAAAACAAAAACACCCAACCCCACCCAAAACCAAAAAAAAAAACTAAACCCAAAACCAGATTAAGTTAAATTGCCACAGAAAGATCCAGTTTGTGATTCAGCTGTGAAGTTGGCTCATGCATTTTACCTGCTCTTGTGCTGCAAGTTTCAAACTAATTTGTTAAAAAAAGCCCCAAACTTCATATCCCAGAGCACAGAAGAGATTTGCCAATTTGGGGATTGGTTTTGGTTAACTGAAGTCTGCGCCAACTCCTTCTGCTGCAACTCCCCACCAAAGACGGAGGTTGCAGCATTATTTACGACCCAGTACCGGTGGCGCAGGAAAGCAGAGAGGCTCATGAAGATTATTTTATTTCCTGTAAGATCTGTAGGAGATATTGCGAAGTTCATCCACATACACACTCCCACCTACCCCTCCTACAGGCACTATTTCAATTTAGTCAAACT